TGGCATCATACCAGCTTTCAAATTCTTGTCCAGTATTTTAACTTGAACCAAAAAATTTCCAGCGTGATGGTTACTAGGGTTTGATTACAGTTAGTAAGATATGGAGCCCCTTCTCTTTGAAGACAAACTGCTGCCAGAGACAGATTTACCACTGACCAACAGTGTTTTTATGCAAATGTGCCTGAGTGAGTGCAGTAACCCCAAGTTATAATAGAGTCATTCAATCTCTTGCCAGGACAGCAATATTTATATATTGCAAAGATAAATTGGATATCAAAACCAGTTCCATTACAGGGAAAGTTCTCTATGTAAATCAGTTATTTCTAATCACACCATGCTTCTTCCCACCCCCCACCCCATTTTACTTTCCTTGCTTTATCTTCATAGATGAATTCCAAATGCTTTTTTCTCCTGTGTGTTCACTTTGAATATTGAAGCATTCAGCTAATGCCAAGCTAATGGATAATGTAAACTCCTCACTATGAAACTTTAGTCTCCAAGTGTGTTTCTTCATGCCTCAGGGAAGGGCTATACAAGGCTTATATTCACATACAGTGTTTTGTCTGCCACTTGTGCAAGTTTCTGTGTGAACTTCTCTTTCTCCTGATGCCTGATGGGAAGAAATGGGCAGTCAGCTCCCTAGTGACTTTATCTCCCCATCAGGAATGAGTGCAAGGGGTCAGATGCCCCTCTGCATGCTAGTCACCGTCTGCTGACAGCAGTGCTCCCCTGGGAGAGCTGGCTTTGTTTACTGACAGGGCTAATATGAGGAGACACGTGAAGTACTTTGGTTTGTGGAAAAGGGCAGGAGAGGCATGGTGCTATGAAAACATTCCCACACACTCTAATGGCTCATTCACATAGAAAACAAGCGAGAGCCTTCAGCTCTTTCACAGAGCTCAAAGTAGAACAAACAGACTGAGGAACCCCAAGGCACCAGTCAAAAAAACACTTCCCTAATGGACTAATACCGAGATGCTCTCGGTGATAGCTTACCTATCAGACTTCAGCTCTCATTTAGGCAACTAAATGACTTGGCTAGAATGAAAAACTGCTCAGTATCTGGTAGTTGCTTTTGTTCACTGTTAGGTGCTAAATTCTTCTTGAAAAATCTAACCTTCAGTTTCCTAAACCCAAACCGTCTAAAACTAGTTATAATAGGTGAAGCATGAATTGGAGAAATTCATCAACACAATCACGAATTATTTCCCTTGAGAATGAAATTTGTAGGATGCAGAAGAAATGCAACATCCCTAAAAAGAGATATGTTTTTTGCTTTATAGTTGTTAGAGACACAGATACACATTAGTGTGTAACTTTAGAATATAATTTGAGGATTGAAAAGAGGAGCTTTCTCAATTAGGTCTCAAACACAGTAGGGATACATGTAATGGAAAAGTCCACATTATAAACTGTTTTAAGTGATGAATGATGTTTAGTGAACAGCAGTATTCACTTTTCTCCTTTAAAATTTATAAGATGTATAAGCAGTCAACAAGAACAATGATACTAGATCAACCCGCAAGTTCGTGTAGCTTAGTATCTGACTTCTAACACCAACCTGTATTAGAAATAAGGAATAAGAAAGCAAACTTACAGTGATTTTTCTCTTAAGATATCCTACTGAATATATATCATTTTTGATTTAAGGAATGTCAAAGTCTAACAGGGCATGATGGCATAACAAAGTATTATGTAAAAAAGGATTTCTTGCTTGTCTAGAAGTGCTATGAAGCTCCTTGGTTCTTGCACTTTGCAAAATACTGAATTACAGTACGGCACTTATGATTTTCTCATCTTTCCTCCATTCATCTCTTTACCTCCTGAAGGCTTCTAGTCTAACTTATTTTCATACAGAAGTTGCTTCATAATTGTCACCATGTTTTTTGATCTGTTATTTCCAGTTATTTTATCTCTTCCTCTGCATTGCTGAATGGACTATAACTACAAACTCTATACTTTATGGATGTACCAATTGTAATATCTGATGATCATAAATCAAGCATTGTGCTGATATTTTCATAGAACTAGCCCCAGTAACTCCACAGTATTAATTCCTGTATGATGGTATCAATTGTCGTTCAGCAAAATAAACAGGTACAGACATATACACAGGGACACACACACACCATATTTATTTCCAAAAGTTATATATATGTATATATATGTATATAACAGTCTACGTATCTATAGTTAGCTCTGTTTTCCCTCATGGACATTAAGTTGAATATATTGAACTCTCTGCCTTCGTATAGTTCCATTACTCAATAGTGTAAAATTCTTAACTTTTTCTATAATTGGCTTTTGTCTTACCATTGTTGAATCCTCCGTAACGCACTATTTCTATTTCCAGGTTATTTAGTGGTATATGTTGAGCAGTACAGAGGCCAGCACAGATCTTTCTGAGAAATCAGTTATAAACTTCCGTCAGAATGAGGAATGACTTCCCTGTTCCTATCTTTTCATTTAACAGAAGATCAGATTTCCTTTAATAGAGCTTAGTCTCTTTCAGAGTCTTTGGTGAAGACCTTTTAAGAACAAATGTCATTCATTCATTGATGTCTTGACCCTTTATATTCAACCAGTGTACCTATGCCTATAGCCATGTAACATCATTGAAGAGTGGGACTAAAATAGACATACTCCCTTTTCCAATTTTGTTCACTCTGAGTTCTTATCAAAGTCAATATATCTCAAGGATTTGTTGAAATGGATATACTATTGAAAAGCATGAGGTCAAATATATTAGCGAGAGCAGGAGTGTGAACTAATGCAGTCAATAATTTCTTGTTATATTTGCTTTAGCTTTTACTGCTTCTGAAGGAAAGTTATGTCTAATTTAAGCTCGATTCTAAAAATATTCATATTTAGCCTAAAATAACTCCACTTTGGGAATGTGCCACTGCAAATGTGAAGTTTTTAAAAAGCCTTCACTTTTTTGGTAGATGAGAGTATTGTTCAGTTTTATCTTCCAATATTTAATATACCACATTTTTTGAGAAGTGTGGTATAGATCAAAGAGCAGGATTTGGCCCTTAGTTACCTGCTGTTACTGGCGCTAATCTCACAGCTATTGAAAAATGATGCATCAAATTTATATCGCTGCAAATGTCACTATTCTGAATCTTGCACATGTTGCCTGAGCTGTCAGAAATAAAAATCTGTTCTTAATTATTCTCCCATTTAAAAAATAATAATTTTCTAATAACCCAGTGAATAGGAATTTGATGTTTTCTTTGGCTGGAAACATTTTAATGATTTAGTACATCTATAAAGTTCTGTGTGCTTTTATAGTATAGTAGCTTTTGAAAATGAGTAGGACTTTCCCATTTAAAATCCCTGTGGCTACAAAGAAAAGCAGAATTTGTTTAAATCTCAGTTAAGTTTAAAAGTGAGTAAAATAAGGAAAATGTTTCAAGAAAAAAATAATTCAGTTGAAAGCCAGATATACAAAATTGGGGTTATGTATGTTACAGGGATGCAAAGTATAAAAATGTATATTTAGAATTAATTATATTGTATATTTTAACCTTTTATCTATCTTAATGTTTTCTCATAATAGGAAAAATAGTGTTTATTTTTTTCTTCACCAATTTATATGGAACTATGATGAGAAAATTAAAATAGCGGAGAATATTAAGAAAGTGTAAGAATAAAAATGAAGGCCTTGGATAGTACCAGATTTTCTAGTTGGAAGCAGAATTATCCAGACCATGAATCCTATTTGCTTTTAATATTTTTTCCCCCATCACAGTACTTCTTTCAGTTAATTACCTTCATTGAAAGCCCAAAGAAGTGAACGGAAAAGACTTCCATTGAAACTTTGGAATAGCCTCATAGATATGATTGTTAGCATGCAATTCTACCTTCCTTAAAGGTGGAAGGGTTTAAAATATACAGAGTAATGTGCTCTCCTTCATTTTTTTTTTCAATGTGATGATAGACTAACATTTTAGCTCCTTGCTATGCTTCACGGAATAATGCACCTTTTGGAAACAAGAACATTAACAGCCAATTCATAAAATGCACGTATTATACAGCTAAAAAAAGAAACACTTCTTTTTCTTGTCCATTTGGTCTTGGAAACATGTATTTACACAGGAGCATACAAAACATTTCATACAAAACACACTAGTTGATTCTGGATAATATTTCATTACCTTACTTGATTGCTTCTCAAACCAGACTGCTATATTACTGTTTAAGTTTCTGTTTGTACCTGAAATTCTAGACAGAATTTGTCCTTGCTCCTTGAAGTCAAGCAAACGAATATTTATTTTGCCAGATATATTATTTATTTAAATAGTTTTTGAACTTTAATGCCAAAGTGCTATGTAGTCAAAAAGCAGTGTGAAACAAAAATATATAATTGAGTGCAAATAAGCACTACAGTGTTCAGGGAGACTATGTGTATAGTAACTGATAGAAGGTGTTTTTCTCCCTTTTTGCATTGCATCTGTGCACTAATTAAGACAACAATCAAATGCAAAAAATAAAAAGCAGTCTCATCATAATAATGCATACACACGAAGGCTGAATTAGAGTTGTACAAATCATCTGGAATGTGATTTTTATAAGAATATTCAATAGGGTCTGGCATTTTCTTTAGAGATTTTAAGTACCTGTTGAAAGAATGAACAGCACAAATTTCTGAACTCCAGCATGTCATTCTGTGTGGGTCAGGTGAACAAAGTGAAGGAACCTCTCCTATCTTCCATATAATTTAAGTATTTTTTCATTATTTATGTGTTAAAATAAACCATGGATAAAATTATTGTATTTTAGAATCATTTTGGTCAGGATATTTCAGGCTGGTGTGACAGCAGGCCCAGTTATGTCCAACCTTAACGCTGCAATCACTTCTTAGGAATAATCATTTTTGCCAATTCTGTTCTCCACATCTTTTATGATCAGCTTATTTTCTGACAATTCTAACTAGTCAAGATGATTGCTGTCAAAATGCTGTCTAGACAAAATGTGGTTTTTTCAACTTTTTGCAGATCTGAGTGACCAGCTTATGGAAGTGGTTGGTCTGGAAGGAGCCATGGAGATGGGACAGATATACACTGGTCTGAAAAGTGCTGGAAGACGTCTTGCCCAGTGCTCGTCTGTTGTCATCAGGTATTATTAAATCTGTTGGTATGTGTGAGCTGGTGATGGTGCAGTATGCTAATGTGGTTTATCATTTCTGAGCTCAAAGTGGCCAGAGCATTCACAATAAGGACTGGAAAAGAGAGAGGTGGTCAATTCTTTCTCAGTGAAGAATTCTTCAGGAAGAATTTTCCAAAAGTTATTAAAACCATAAAGTCTGCAATTATAAGCCTAAAATGAGCATAAAAGAGAAGAGTAACAATAAAAACTTTAAGAAAATAAGTAGGATTTTTCAAAGTACATTTTATTGAGACTCTCCTCAAGGACTGAGTGGTGTTGACTTAAAAAGTACTCTCTCATATGGATGCAGAAGAGAAATAAGATCATAGGGGTATTCCAACCTTCTCTAGATACCAAGAGATAATTCTTATAATCCTACATCAGCAGGACCACAATTGTGAAAGATTCAAGCCCTTCCAGAACTATAGAGTAAGAGTTCATTAAACATTCTTCCCTCCCTCCATTTATGGCCGTAAGTGACAGTGGATAAATCCATGAACAGTTCACTGTTTTCATATAACATCCAAACCAGAATTTCCAGTGACCAATATGAGTGCTCAGTTGGCTAGCTTTTCCATTATTAGGTTTATCCATTCCATGTTATTTCTAATAGTCTTGAATGCAAACTATTATAATGCAGAAATACAGAGAGAGAAAACTAAAACTAAACAAAACTAGAGAGAGAATACTGTCTGTATCTTTATGTTAAAATCAGCACCCCTTTACTATCAATTTAAATTTATAGCATGGTATAGACTGAATATAGTACAAGCTTCATTCTCTGTGAGTGTTCTAACTCAGAGACAGACACAATATAAAAACATATTTTATAGTTCTAATAAGTGGTGATTGTAGACCTAGAATTTATTCCTTTTTTCCTTTATAGTTTTATAATATACAGAATGATATATAAAGAGTCTAAATTATAAAAAATAGTAGAAATTCCTCTGTCTTTACAGTTAATAAGGTTTATTCCTGAAGTTCTTGTGTAATTCACTCTTTATTTCACAAATTAGACTCTTCTCCCATGAAAGAGTAGCATCTTACTAACAATATGTGTGAATATTTGCCATATTTTTGCTTTGTGTATTGAAAATCAGACTAAACCTACTAAGTTAACTACATTCCCTTTGTAAGCACATTGGGTCATACTGGAAATTACATAGCATTTTAGGAGTAAATGAGGATTATATCTGTACACCATCACATATATGCCTTTTTAATAAATACATTTATCAATTTTGTTGAGTTTCTTTTTCTTACATTATGAAATTTGTCCCTTTAGAACCAGCAAGTCTCTGCCTATGCAGATAGATGGGGAACCTTGGATGCAAACTCCTTGCACGGTAACTGCAACTTATTTTTTTACTTTCTCTTCTTTTTCAATGAGAGAAGGAATTTTTATTTTTTTATTTAAAAGACAACCATTTTCATCAGCATTAACTCAATTTACTTAAATAAAATCTTCACACACTGTTTTTATATACTTCAATAATCTCTGCATTTTCAATTTATCATTCTGTTTTTAACCACAGATTAGAATGCAATAAAAAGGCATTTATTTCAGAAATTTGGAAAATACTTGAAGGGTGCAGTCTCAGCATCCTTTTATCTAATTTAATCATTTATTTATGATGATGTATCAGATTTAGAGTCTCTATTGCGGAGGAAAATTCAATGTTTGTTTTGATGCTAAAGTGTATAAAGTAACTAATTATTCTTAAAAATTTAGGAAGATTATCTATTGTATTTTTAAGAGTTCATATCAAGAAAGTTTTATTTAAATCTGAAATTTTAACTGTGCTGATTAAATTATACAGTAGAACTATTATTTTTTAAGTCCTTACAGTTTAAAGGCAAAATAAACGAAATTAATTGGTTTCTTGTTTCAGTGCCCACACATATGAAGCAAAGGCAGGTAAACATCCATCTGGATCGATTAGGATAATATAGGATAGGATAGGAGCTTGTTCAGAGAAGGTTCTTTGAGTAACTTTACAGACAACACAAGAAAAGTGGTATCTGTAAGAAGTCTCCATTTTCATCTCTCTCCAGTAAATTATAGAGGCTAACCAAGCATTTGGAGAAGATGTTGAAGAAATCCAAGCTCTTTACTGTTGTGTGTAATCTTAATAACATATTTTAATATACATTTCTACTAATTTTATTTCCCTAAAGAAAGCATATTTTTAAGTAGATCAATTGCTGTAGCTTTGCAGCTTGTACGTATGACAAGACAGAAATGTGAAGAAGAAATCCCACTAGAGATGAGAGTAATTCTCCAAAAAAAAAAGAGTACTGGATCACTTTCATGAGCATTATGTCTGTAGTAGAATTAAAAGCTACACATAAAAGTAAAGGGAGTACCTTCAGTAAGGTGCTAACAGGCATTCAGCTGATAATGTATGGGTTAGAGTGACAGAAGAGGGTCATAGTGTACAGCTGAGCAGCATGAAGAATGCCTGAACTATCATTCTCTATGGAAGTGCTCAGATTCTGCAATATGAGGAGAACCATATGAACACCTACCGTATCAAGGCAGAACAGTGGGGATTTTATTGCAGGAAACCTTTTAGAATTAAAGAGATATCATTATCTTCACCTCTTCTACAGCGATGGCTCAGTGCAGAGCAACAGTACTGAACCAAGTAGTTACTTGTTCAAGAAAAAGACATGTAATTTTTCAGTTGCCAGATTACAGAAGAGAACTTATGGAGGGATGCTGGCAATAACGTGCTTTTTTTGTCTTGATTGCTTGCTCTGTGCAAAATCCCTGCTATCTGATTGATAATGCTAGCAGAAGCTGCCTGCGCGACTGAGGACAAACCTGGAAAAAGAGACAGTTCTTACATTTCAATTACTGACCTGAGGAAATAGTAAATTATTACTGGTAATTACTGCTGTCCAGTTGAAGTACTGTTTTAAAGGGGATAAAAATGGCATATACTTTTCCACAGAACCCATTCTTTTTGCTATACCATTGTTAAGAGAATATACTTTGCATTGGGTAAGAAAACCATGCTGTTGAATATTCTTATTTCCTCTGAGAAGAAAATACATAAACTATTTAGCTATACCAATGCACCTCTATGAATTCAGATATAGAAATATTATTTTATGTTATTAATTTTTCAGGATTTTTTTTTCTCTGCTAAGGAGCTTAATTATTTATTGCAATTGCTCTTTGCATTATTGTCCATGTACCCCCCTCTGTTTTTCACATCTTAAAAGGGAAAAAACATGTATGGTCCAACCTCTTCTCTTATCACTGATTGTAACTACAGTACAGCTTTTTCTTGAAGTTCTCTGCAAGGTAGCTAAGAATTACTCTGGACACAATGAGAAAGGTTGACATTACCTTTCTCTCAATCAAAGCTTAAGATTCGATTTCTAAGTTTGTGCTTCACAGGGGCCTTTCTTTGGAAGCCAAAGCGTACTTGATCACATAAATACCAGGGTGATGCGTATCCAAACTGTAGTACGAAAAAACCTGCATAACATCAAAACAGCTCCTTACATGTAGCCAGCTCCATAGTCACTTATTTGAACCTGCTAGAGCTCAAATTTCAGAAAAAAATATAAGGACGCCAATATAAGAATAATGGGTTTTGTCTTCCTAGAGAAAAAACTGCAGTGTTCTCCCAAAATTTCCAAGGGAGAGAGCTCTGCATGTTGTTCAGTTGCACAGATCGTGTGCATCAGTGAGACACAGCAGCTGAGCCTCGCTCATTTTTTTCTTTTATCATCTTAGGGACTTCAGAGTCATCTAAGTTCAGTAGTTTTAGGGGCTGACCTATGTTACAGAAACTAAATGAGAAAGAAATTCATACAATCGGCAGATGTTGAATCAACCCTCACCCAGGCTGCAAGTGCTTAAGCTCAGAAGTCCTTTTCTGATTTGCTTCAGGTTTTGATATAAATGAGAGTATTTTGCAAATGACTTTTCAAGAAATCAAATTCAATCTGATCAAAATTGTCCTACTTTCCCATGATGCCTATTAAGGTAAACAAGTTTTGCATCAAATCCGTATTATGCATGGGATGCAGCCTGCACATGCAGGCTTGGAAATGCACTTCCTGTTGAGGGAATCAACAGTTTTGTCTTTGCTGCTTCTCCTTTCTGACTGTAAAAAGAGATTCATACAAATAGCACGAGTTGCTGACAGCTGTCCCTTCTCATGCATAGAGACTGTGCTATCCCAAAATGACAGTGTGAGCTCTAAGAAAATACTGTAGGATGTGATAGATAATGCAGTGATTCCCCAGAAGCTGAGATCAGTGATTTTTTTCCTTCCTGTGATCAATTTCAGTACTCAAGAAATCGTTGTGTGCTTCTTTTGACATCTTTTATGATCTTCTATTGCTCATGCACCTACATGAAAGCATCCCTACATGAGAACGAGAATGCATTCCTGTAGGTTCTGTACACACTTAAAAATGCAAATGTCTTGGTCTAAAAAATTGTCATCCAGTATTATTCAGTATGTTGAACACATGCAGACCGCAGTGTCTAACAAAGTCACTCTGCTCTGGTATAATAAGACACAGCATCTGAGCATCAAATTGTATTGGTTTTTTATAGAGGAGTCTTTGGGAGAAGGAAAGATGATAATGCTAGTGTTATGTTAAACATCTCCTCCGATTAGCTGAGGAAGAAATTCTATCAGAGCTCTCCCAGACAAATATAGACACATGAAAGATATCTATGGTTTTACCTGGTCTCCAAAAAGATCATTAATAGTAATGAAACTTCAAAGACTCTCAAGTTAATTCAATAAACTTCAGGCTTTAGCCATCAGGATTTTTTTTAAGAAAAGTAATCTTTCAATTTAGCTACATAAATTATTAGCATTGTTTTGAAAAAATCCATAAGAATGTTCCATCTTAATTTGAAATAACTGCGATTTCAGTTCTTTCATCTATTCCTGACTTGTTTGGCATCATATCTGAAAGAGTGTCAAGCTGCTAGAAACACTAGACTAAAAGTAGAAAATGGAAATATCTATAGAAGATGCAAGAATATTGCCTAAATAAAGAAACAAAAATGAAAATCCATAGTCAGAACTCACCTAATGGATTGCCAGTAATATAGTTTCATAGACACATCTGAAACACATAATATTTTTAGAATTGTTTACTGATGGAAGAATTTCGAGTAAGTCATTTAATAATGAAACCCAGAATTATTATTTCAAAATATTATCATTTAAATACCCCTTAAAAATAAGTTTTGAATGAATGGTTTCTCTCTACTTTTTCTTTTAGTCCCTAGAGATGTGATGAGCCAGAGCACAGACTGTACTGTAGTTAAATCCAGAGAGAAACAAGAACTAAAACCAAAATTAACTAAACCAAGCTTTTATTAATAGTCACTATATACCAGAGCTCAGTGAGAAAACTAAAAGAAAGTAACAGATTTGCTTTTATGTAGACCCATTGGCTCCAACACCCCACAGATCGCATGAAGAAGCTGCCGCTGTATTCTAGACTCTGTTTGTATCTTCTTTCCATGCCTCTGGCTGTATTAGTATTTTCTTATCAGTTGTTTATAATGAGAGTTTAAACTTCTGTGCCTGCCACTTTAGAGCAAAGAGGAGCTGGGTCCTAGATATGGTAGCTGATTTCAGTAGAATATTAGCCAATTACTACATGGTTAACCCATAAATGGAAGTCAGTCCCTAGAAAAGGTTTTTGGTGTTATAGTAAAATGCTGTATTTTTTTCCCCTTTGAGCAGCAGTGTGCATACGTTTCTGTTTCAAGACCAAATTGATTTATTGAGTTTCTAACATTTTATTTTGCATCTGGGCGTTGTTTTTTGTGGTCACAGGTACACTGCACTTTAATTACTTTTGTTTACCTATGCATATTTTTTTCTTAATTTCACAACAGTTGTTTTTGTAATTGACAAAGCAATTTACTGCATGTGTGCTTTCTGCACCCCAGACAAATCCTCTAACATGTAATGCACCTTTCTTTCCAGTTCAGATTGTTAAGAAAAGAATTAGTTGTGACTAATTGCCAATTAATTTGCAGTGGTTTTAGGGAGGAGGGGGGAAAAACAATTGCACCTACTAATTAAATTTTAAAATATTCCAAAGTGTCATCTTTAGGTATCTGTGGAATACATAATTTCCATTTTAGTTCTGCACTGGATCTGTAACAACCCTGAGCTGACAGCTCTATTAATTTAAAACCTCAATGATACCTATTAGTACAAAACATGAAAAAAATGCCATTAATCATTTATTTTAATTTTGCAGCTCTGTCATTTTCTCAGTATGTTTAAAAATTATGATGACACCATAATGTTTTCCAATCTACCTGTATGAAGGGGAAACGGATCACACTACTTAGGAGAGAGACTAGAGTATATTATTAGAGCTTAATTAATGCCAAACTGATTAGATTTGATTGCACTTTGCACAATAATATTGTTTAGAAATTTATTTATGATGTGTTGTGTAATGCTATATTTAAAACAACAAGTCTAGATCTGAGAGATTTTGTCCAAAATGTCACATAATGCAAGTCACAGGTTAATTTTGTTCAGCGCTGCCTGCATTCTGTAGGTCTTATTCACATCATGATACTGCATACAATTCTTGATCACCTACAGGAAGGTAAAACTTTTTGGTACTTCTGTGATATAGAGGTGTTGCATCCCTCCATTTCCTGTATGGGGAGCAGCATTTAGGCATCTTTATATGGGAAAACCCTCATAACCTCAAAACAACCAACATCTAAGTCCTGCTGATAACATGGAAAAAAGTGACCATAAGCTAAAAGATCCAAAAGTTTTTCTTCTGACAGTTTTTTTTCCCTCTGTCCTTAAAATACAGTAATATGTTCTTTAACATTAATTGAAATATTATAAGCAGAGCTGATTATATGTTTCCAGTTTTCTACTGTCAGTTAGCACAGTACTTTACTACCTGTATTTATAGCACCATGTTCGCTGAAATAGTAAATATTTAGAAATTCTGTGAAGTCAGGAGCATGAAGATAACCAGCACATATTATTGAAAAAGGAACATGAAAGCAAAATTGACTGACCTAAAAGACATTGTTATCACACTAAAATTATTGATGCTCACTGCATTTCATTTAGTGGATGCATTGCATTAATGTGGCTTCAAGGCGTATTTTGAAACTCTGACCTGCTCCTGAAACAAATAGATGTCTAGTTTATGCATTTATAAATATTTTTAGTATCAAAAATGCAGGCTTCTCCTTTATTAGAAAATTTTCCATTGACAAAAAAGGAGAAATTATCATCTCTTGAGAATTATGCTCTTTTAATTAGATATGGTGTTCCTTCCCATGAATGCATCATTGGACACACTTTGTAATATTGGAAAGGTGATTCAAAATTGCAAATGCAATATTCTTCTGCTAAACCTATTTACTAGATATACCACGGGCTAAAATCTTGGCTTCAATTAGTGAGTGAGAGATTTGTCATTGGCTTCAACAGTTTGAATTTAGCCTAGAAAATTGTGCATTGGGTTTACAAGAAAAATCTATGATATCTTAGCAATTCATGTTGCTACTTACTTACGCTCTAAATGGAATTTTGTTATTTCTTGATTTTGCCTGTTTTTAGATATAAATTTGTAACAAATAACTTTTTTTTTCTCCAGCAGCACTTCAGGCACTCCCCTTAATTTATGTTCAAAATGTCCTCCATATTATGTTCAAGGTATTATATATTGTCAATCAAATTGAGTAAGTGATCTCAAAAACTCTTTTCCAGAATTCCATAGTAATTTGTATGAGTATGTTTGTCAGGGTATCATCAGTTCCTAAAAATATATTAGGTTAGGATTTTAGCTTTCTGGATTTTTGTCTGAGCAATTTCTCATTTGTGTGTGGGATTCATAGAGTAAATCTAGGAAAAATGAGAAATAAAAAAAAATCTTATTTAAAGCTTTTATAATTGTGTTTCTACTAAAAAAGACATGAAGTTGCTTGCTGAATGAAAGACTCTCCATGTGCACACACATAGAATCTATATACAGCTGTAAGTAGGAATTTTTAACTTAACAAAGTCTCCGTTTCTTGTAAGTAAAGCTTTCTCTCTCTCTCTCTCTTTTTTGTCCTTCCATAGAGCACTTTCAATGTTCAGTCCTACCTTGACCTACAATGTTATTTTTCTGTCTGAGATCCTCAGTGCTTCTTCCCATCTCAAAGTGTGTACTATTGCTTGTCACCCAAACTCACAGCTCCAACTCTGGCAATGCTGCCGATATGAGAACAGAAGCAGAAGTGAGAGTCCAGGGCAGACATGCAGTGCCTGAGAGTCTTGAGAAAGACAAAATTAGCCTGCTTCAGGCAAAATAGTGCAATGTTTTGCAAACATACTGATCTCTTTTTATCAACCAAAGATAAGACTTTTTTAATTTTTTATTTTCTTCGTTTTACAGTAGGAAAGTAAGGAATTGATGGTTATCATTGTTAACCAATGCAATATTAACAGAGAAGTAAAAAAACATACTTTCAGTTTACACATTATTTTTTTGTTTTCAGAATGTAAAATACATTTTGTGCCAATTTAACAGTTGAAAATATATCTTGGAGAAATGCATATAGGACTCATCCCCATGCACGTGAGTGGTTAATCATGTTCAGGCATCTTAGCTGATCTCAGTTGATAGGAAGCAACATACTGAAGAGGTCATGGTCTCTGAAACAGATGGCTCAAGCCAAAAAAGAACATTACAAATGATAAACATTTACTGAATATGTAATTGGATTCATCCTGAGCAGCACTGAACAGCCCCAACCCAACATGCAATCTGTATGGGGTCTCAGGATTACCTCACGTCTTCATACTAAAGCCGTCTTTTGAGCTTTCCTCTTTTATTAATTTTAAAATTGAGTTACTATGATTTATCTCTGAAACTCTGAAGACATTCCTACTGCCACATCATGGCCAAATCTTGCAATAAGATGAACCCTTATGACTTGAAAAATTCACTCACACCAGCTGCAGATTACTTCGTGTGTTGATCCTCAGGATCAGGTTGATGTTATGACTGTTCCTGAGCCCAAAAATATGTCTTATGAAGCATGTGAAAGTTACAAAAATTCTTGAGGCAATTTTCCAGGACCAGATCATCAGCTGGTACTATGTGACATCAATGGAATAGTGCCCATTTACCCCAGCTACAGATTTGGCTTCCAAAGTGGTGCCTGAAGCAGAATTTCTTGTGAGAAAATATGTTGGTGCCAGTCTTTGCAAGCAAGAGTTATTATCTATATGAAATTAATCTAGATTGCCAAAAAAAACCCATATGCTAAAGTTGATACTAATGAACAGTGTTGACAAAAAGAGGTCACACTTAAAATTTGAGACTAATGAACTAAGGTGGCATGGAAATGAGCATTTGGAGAGTAAAGTAAAGGCTCTAATAGAGTTAAACCAAGCCACTCACTCTATTGAGATTTTTATGTTTCTGTCTCCTTATATTGTAAAGTAAATCTCCACCCCAAGAAATGTCCTGATCTATATTTTAATGAGCCTCTCCACGTGACATACATTTTTTGTTTCATTACTATTAGTGAATGACAAGTGAAGGATATTCATTTTAACTTGAAAATGTCAGGTATGTACTTTAAGAGATATATTTTTCCAGTTTTTAATGAGGTGGTGTTTCTTTTTGAAAGAAATACCCATCTCTGATGTGGGTACTATGCAGGTGACAACTGATATTTAATAAGTGATGGTTCTTGTATTAGTCGTAGTTCACTAAAGAAAATGTCTCGGATTGCTTTTGAAAAACTCTTAACGTCACTAGCCCAAAGGCAAGATGTGACCTTTTTATTACATAATGAGAATCATTTATTATCTTACAATGTATCTTAAAGTCACAGACAAAATGCCACTTTGATAATTGCTTTCAATTAGCTTTGAGCATAGCATACATTCATAAAATGTCTTCTCTAATTTAGACTTGAATTAGAGAAAATTGCAGACATAATCTACTTTAAGGTTGTCTCATTTAAGGTGATTCGTAGTTTTATATCAAAGAAATCAAAACGGGTGGCTTTAGAGCAGTATTACAAAGTGTTTTAAATAGTCTTTTCAATATTTGAGTCCATTCTATTAACAATTAATTAACAATTTAGAATGCTAGTTCATCTTTTTTGACCTTTTTTGTGTATTAACTTTATATTTTTGTTCATAATGGTTATTTTGAAATTAAGCAGTGTCCTGAGGTAAAAGAGTACAGCTTGATTAGATGTATAAATAAAGCACATGAAGACATGTCTTATATCTTAATAATAGGCAAGAGATTGGTCTTCCAACGTGTATGTTCTTTCCAACTTAAATTCTTCCTTAACAGCAAGCAATAAATCCCACACTCAAAAAGTAAGATTACATATTGGCATGTATTTTATTGCATACAATTTTTAGTATTTATTGTGTGTCTAATTTAAATTTTGTGGAAACAATGGTTACACATAGATTGGTTTACTGCATAAGTAACATCGTTCATAAAGAAACCGAGGTGTTTTCCTTTTATCTTAGGTTAAATGGACAAGGTTTGGAAGTCACATATAAAGATAATTCAGGCATCTCAGATACTTGGCATTTAACTAGCCCAAGGGATAATTCTGTTTTTCTTCTTCCTCCCCCCAGATAAAAATTACTCACAAGAACCAAGCCCCCATGTTGATGGGACCTCCTCCAAAAACCGGTCTTTTCTCCTCTATCATCAAAAGAACAAGGAACCACAGCAAGGAATAAGCCTATGTAGTTTAGTTTTCAGAAAAACAATTAGCTTTGTTGGGCTTTGGAATATTTATGCTGGAAATCTTTCAAGAATTTTAGAACATCTTCTACTTGCAAAATCTTGGATTTTGGTTTAACTGTTTCTGTAACTGAGCTAATGTAAAACTATGCTACTAGAAAAGATGTTGTCACAGTTTTGTAGGCATTTTGCATGATGAAAGCAGATGTTTACATAAAGTGATGCATATTTTTTGTTGCATGCATTACCATTTACTAATCTATGGGCTAATTCTGCCATGGAATATGGGAAGAGAATGTCATGGGTAATTTGATTTTCTCTCTTTTCCATTTCACCTTTTTGTACTACAATGATCACATGCCATAGGTTCAATAGTATCTCTTGAATCAAAGATCTTCACATGAACAGCCAATTTGACCTGTTTCAGAGTAAAGTTTACTACATCTCATTAACCTGTATTTTTAGTTTACCATTTCTTTCTACCCTGAGAATATTTTTATTCAACTGAGTATTGAAATCTTGGATCTTATTCTGATAACTCCTATGTATATGAGTAACTGTACCTGCAGAAAAGAATTAACAATATGTACTGTATTCAAATTATCATGATTATTGTTGTGTAATTTTTTTGTTAAGATTGGAAGCCAATGCAAGTTTTAGCAAAAATTATAACACTAAGGAAATCATATTGAGTGAAGATAATAATTCTTGCAAAACTAGCCATCAGTGTTGTTTGCTGAAACACTAGAATTATTTTCATGAACAATACATCTCTGTAACATGGCACACTTTAAATCATTCTGCATATTGACCAATAGCATAGTGCATATGCACACAAATAACCAAAGCTCATGCCTAATTAAAGTGCATTTCCCACCAAAGATTTAGTGAAGGATGCTTCAGAGAAATGGGTTAATGCATAATTAATCAAACTCACTGGAGTAGACTCACTTCTGAAAATTTACAGTTCTTTTGATTACATTGACAATGTCCAGACAAATGTTGGGGTAGGAAAAAACATTAAATTAATTGCAAGTAAATACTCACTTTTCATTTGTTTCATAAGTTAATAGGCATAGTCGCATACTCTAAATATTGAGACATCGACATGAACTCTAAATTAATTTAGAAAATTAAATTTATATCCAATTTTTGTCATAATTACTTATAAATTTATGCCATCCATAATTTACTCATCACCTAAATTAATCTCATAAGGAAAGAATAAACTGTTATCTATTCCCCTTTCGTAGTCTGCTGTCTGGAATCAAAACATTTCTTGTCATAAATTTTGGGGAGGCAGTTGCTCAGGTTTTAACCTTCTTAGCCCTTTTAGAGACTTCCTAACAGCTTAGAAATCATAGTACAGGGATTTGTCCGAGGTTTGCACAGCACAGTCTAACGTTGAAGGGAAGTCCAAGAACGACAACTTTTTTCGGTCCTGCATATAAACAGTCTCAATCAAAACTTTTTATGCAGTCTTAACATTGTTTTCTGTTCAGAGTGAGCTGCTTCTCAGCTCTGCATGTCTTAAGTTTTCAGATTTCCTCAAAAAAACAAGGAAAAAACAAAACTTTGCTTGAAATGCATGATTTTCCGTTTTTATCCAGACTTAAAAATGTTAATGGTTTATTAAATCTATTTTTCTATTGATTCATTCATCCATTTTAAAAGTAATACTTCATCATGCTGTAGTGCACGGTACTGTGCATGTATTTAAATAAAGTTGCTATCATTTGTTCCTCAGTATAAGAATTCAACAGAGTTGTACTTTAAATAATAGACACTGAAATACAAGTCAGTATATAGTTGATAAGGGTTATGTCTTTGAAATATAAAGTCTGTGTTCTGTAAACATTAGGAGGTAAATACCAATTAATGTTATGTTCCGCATTAGGTAGAAAAATATGAAGGTGATTATTTGCTAAAATTAAGATCTTGTAATTCACCCTCCTTAGGTCCAGTGGTGTTGACAATTACAGTTACTATAGGAGTAAACTTGTATTTTTCCTGTGCATTGCAAACACACACACACACACACACACACACACACACAGTCACACACACAGAGAAGCATTTGATGCACTTAACTATGAACATACATAAGTATAGAGCAAAAGTTATTTGCAAAAAGAAGGAATTTGCTGACATAATGTTACATAAAGTATATATTGGTTTTATGAAATTATAGTTACAGGTGGTAAATATTTTCACATAACTTGACATAGGTTTTTCTACCAATGCTCTCAACTTTTTGTGGCAAAAATGTGTTTAACAATAATATATAATGTGCTCTCTATAATTATCTCATGAACATTGTAACTCTGAAAACAAATAAAATTATACATAAGCTATTATTTAATAATGTGTGCAATTTTAAATGTGCCAGTCTGTGATAGCACTTACACACTTTTTCATGTAAAGAGGGATAGATGAGTTCATGTAATCACAATTACATACAATTCTGATTAAACATATAAACGGTAAATCAGATCTGTTGGTCAGTATGTGTCAGATTCTCACTGTAACAAAATACAAGAGAGCAGCCATCATATTGGCAATTATCATAGCAGTGACTGACTTTCTATTAATCTTGATTGTTTTGGGTTTTTTTAGTATGGCCTCCTATAATTTTAAACCATGCTCAGGTTGAAAGTATTGATGGTGATGAGAAAACCTTAGACTACATAAAACATAGTATAAAAAGAAAATGGTTGATTTCATGAAAGAGAACTTCAGAGCGGGATCCTTTTTTTTTTCTCTTCAGTATGCACAGAACTAACATCATGAAATTATTCATTGGTATAAGAAGGGAAACAAAGAATATATGCGTATATCTTCATGCAGCTGAAATAGATGCATTGTTCTTACATGGACTGAAGAGCAGTATCTGTAAACCTACTCTTTACAATGAAGCATTCTTTAAGGCTTCATTAATGACATTTGCAATGTAAATGGCAATTACAAATATGTAGGAATTAAATGTGACACTTGATTTGCAGATTTTTCATCTCCCTACCAGAGCCTGTCAACTGGGCAATGTGCTAAGGAAAGAACATGACATGCCAGGAAAAAACTTTAGCTTCTGAAATTGGTCAGTCTCTCACTTCACATGAGTTCCTGCTAAAAAGAAGTGGAAACAGTATTTCTTGAAGAGACAAACAGAGAATTACTGTTTCCAATACTTGTAAGATGTTTGTATACACATCATCAAGACTATTTAAAGCTAGGGGGTGAGACCTCATGATTTAGGCTTGTTGGTATGCATATGTGTATGTGCATGCTAGATCAGGTAACATGCTGATAAGCTCAGGACTTTGAAGAGCTAGGAAGCCCTTAGTTTCTGAAACAGAAATAGAGATCCCATTGCTCACTCTTATCAACTTTATAGTGTTGCATGTACATCATAACAATGATTAGCTAATATCCAAAATTATTTAAGGCAAATAAAGTTGTGGGGAGAAAGTTTGAGACAAGTTGGACCCAAATGAGCCCTTCACGTGAAGTGAGAAGGACTTGCAAGAAAAGGAGAGCTGAAGGACAGTCAAAGGAAGGTAAAGGACTTGTCAGAGCTTTATTTATTTCTGAGTACTTACATACCCTAAAAAAAAAAATAAAGAAAAAAAGAAAGCCTGAAAATAAATAAATTTAGAAAACTGAGGTGGGCCAGAGAAGCACTGATCAATGTTTTATGCAAGAGCGGTGAAGAACGTGTCAGCCTCTTGTCAGCTAATTGCTGCTTGTCTGCAGCTCCATCAGGAAAGCATTCTGCTTTCTCTCCTCTGTCCATAAGGAAGGAAACTTCTTGTGGTCCTGGCGAGGTGAGTAAAAGCCTTATTGTAGCACTGGCTGGAAAATGAATAAAACATGGGCAAGATCTGGAAGCTGTTAATGAGATATAAAGTAGTAGGTTAAAATCTGTGGCATGTGAGGCTCTGAGGGAGTGCTATGCAGCAATATCTGATGTGAAAACTGTCCTCAGGTCTGTCAAGGTTTGCTGGTGTCTTCCCAACCTGGATTTGTGCCACAGTGAGCCTGCTAGCTCTTGTTCCACATTTTTGCTCAGACTATTTTCAGTTGATTTTGAAATAAAGAGGTTTGACCTTTCTGTTCTGATTTGTGTGTGTGTGTGGATGGAGCCTTCCCATTATCAGGTTCTCTTAATTGTACAAATACCGCTGAAGAAAGGAAACTTCTCCATGACTGTTGAATTCCATTATGTGAAACTGCCCAACAGCCTGAAACTATAAATAGGTGACGATACATTCTAGCCTCTAGAATCTGAGTACGGTGATATTTCAGAGACTGCTTTCTTTCCTTTCTGATTCATGATTCAAAGAGACTCCATGAGAAGCACCTCAGGACTCTCTTTAAATATGACTCATACAAAAAGTGATAATCATCGGACTTTGTTACTTATAGCAAGGTGGTAGCAGTGTTGATGGTAAAGCAGCAGCTTCATTAAGAGGTGCCCAAATTGTGATAAACATAAAAAATCATTTGCTGGGTCTAACTGAGTGAGAAGGAAAGATTTCAAAGTTTTCAGGTCAATTTTTATTCTAATGTTGATAATGACTGAAAATACTTGGCTGTTGATTAACCTATTTGAAATAAACCTTTGTTTGTTTGGTTATTTTTTACCAAGGGTCAAATTCACATGCCATGAAGGAACACAGCAGTTTGCTAATGCAAGTAGGTTTTTCAGACAGGGAAGTGAACACTTCTTACTCTTCTTACTCTTTTGGTGAAAATCATATTTATGGGCCAACTTGTGCCTGCCTGACATCTTCAGAGCTGTCAATCTGTTTTCATGAAGTATACAAAAAATAACCCAACCAAACGAACCGCATAATAATAATTCTTTTTAAAACTATTTGTATCTGCAGAAGGAGAATGGTGATTTGTATGTCCCTCAGTGAGACAAATGGACTTTGCAACATGAGCTTCAGCACTGTAATTTCTGCCCAGTCATGAGGTTGGCTATTGCAGAGGGTGTGGTGTAGGGATTTGAGTCTGATGATTTATGGTTTAGTTGGGGTTTTTTAGTAAACATGGGTGAGTTCTAAACATCTCTTTTTATCTCAGAATGAGAAGAACTAGAACTTTGATTCAGACAGATATAAAATATGTTTATGATGTACACATGAGTAAGCAAACAAGTGCAGGAAGATCTATTCCATCTAAGCTGAACTTTACTTCCATATGTTTCAATTCAGTCCTATTACTAAAGGAAAAAAAAACAAGAACTTGTTAATTTAGGTAGCTTGGCAACATTTGGGGAGGAAATGGGTGTGGTGTGTTTTTCTCCTTGGTAGTATGACCCTGTTACAGCAATACATACATATACATTAAGGACTTTAACCTCATTTACGTCAATCACTATTTTCTGTGGCTGTATTATGAACAGTGATTTTTTTTTTTAAACCAGCTAAATCTTTCTTTTAATGTTTCAATATAATTAATTTACAAGAAGTTTGAAATATTTGGTCCAACTGCCTGATCTACAAAGTCAAGGCTTTCATTGAGATGCAAATTCAGGCCTTTGTACTCTGTCAGTAATACTAGCCAAAAATTCCTTAGCCTCTGTTCTATCAAAATATACAAAATTGTGGGGAGAAACCTGCTTTTCTTATTCAATCAATTTTTTCTAATTGGATTCAACTGGATTCCCATTTCAGACCAAAATCAGACTGATTTTTTTTAATGTCAAAATCTTTTTTGCTTGAATGTTAAAAGAAAAAGTAAAGTTTTAATTTGTTTAATTCATTAATTCTATTTCATTAATGTAGTGATTAACATTGTAGTATAACTGACTTTTCACTTTAAAAAGCAAAAAGTGAAAAAAATGATGCATTATTAATTCAATATGAACGTAATTCTTATATCCTTTAGGAGAATTTTTAAATTCTTGGATTTGTTCAAGATCCTGAAATGAAAATTTCAACTTTTGTGCTGCTGCAGTTGACACAAGACTAAAAGCTTGCACATCAAATTCTAGTATTTATGTAAAATCTCTGTATTTTTGTTATTCAAATAGGTGCACAACTATGAGTTATCTTCAAGAGTTGATTTCAATTCATAGTTCCTCCTTTTTCGGATTAATTTGTCAGTACAAGTCTACCTTGTCACTGAACAAACACAGAAATAACAGAATAATGATAACCAAAACAAATTATTTCACATAGCATAAAAGTTTACTAAATATCTTAATAGTTCTCTCAAAAAACAGTAGTGGACTCTGATTTTCACTGAAAATAGAATGGGAGGATAGTTAAAGAATGGAAATTCCATTATTAAGTTATCCTGACTATTGTAAAATAAGCAAATAACAAGAATATTTTAGACTAGGCATTGTAAGATAAGTTATTGACAAGGCAGATATAATGCTTGTGTTTTTTCTAAGGTACACTGTAACTCAATTAAAAATAACCATTCAATCACATTGATAAGGCATTTGTGCATCACTGTAATTCTCAAATATGTCTTTAATGTGTTTTAATGTGTCTCTCAAACTTTTGGGTGAATTATCAGCTAATACTGTGCGATAGCTAATCTGTGAACACTTTTTACCTCACAGTAACCCAAAATATGTATGCTATCTGAAGGCTTGCTATTCTCTTCGTGATCATTGCATATTTATCACTAAGTACTGTTAGAATGTCTAACCCGATTGATAGTATGCTAAAATCCTTGCTATGACAATCATCAGTCTTATTTTTATGATCTTGGGACAAGAGGTGAGTGGACTCGCATGAGGTTAATGGGCCTTTAAGAAAATGTTATGTTTCTTTGGTGCAAGATAAGGTTCCCTTCTTCTGATGGGAATCTTGTCACTTTATAAGATATAACAGCTTTCTCTGCCAAAGAGTGGAGATATTAGTCTGTGTGAAATGATCTATAGTTTTCCTTGGCTTGCCTACTGAATCTTGGACAAAAAAATAAATCTTATGGCAGATGCCAATTGTTCCCTTTTGGTATGTGTGTAGAAATATGTACTACCGCAAGAGCTAGTAAAAGCATTCAAATGCAACCAGAATAGTTGTGCTGACAACGGAGAACAGAGCTGAATTCCTGGAATCAGGCTCACACAGGCAGAATCTGAAATGTTCAGAAAAGGGTTAAACTTCCTTTACTCGTTTCTAGGGTGACTTCTGTCTAAAAATGTAAGAGTACAAGTAGGTATTAAATACGTCTGTAACTTGCCACTGCTAACACTCATATGTCTGTGCAATATTTGTGCTATTTTCTTATCTCAGATATAGCACGAATGGTAATTTTTAACTATTTCTACTATGTACTTCCTCCACAAAACACAGTGCAATAGCATAACCTATAAAAGCAGATTTTAATAAGGGCAATAAAAAAATGTTTTAGGGAACCCAAGATACCTTCTGGTCCAACATCACAGGAGATAAAAGGTATTTGCAGGGAAAAACATCCCATAGTGCCAATCCATCTCTTCTCAGTAAAAGTTTGAAAGAGAGAGGA